CTGAAATATCTTGGAATCTGGATAACATCTAAAAATATAGATCTATATAAAAATAATTACGAACCGGTGTGGAAGGAAATAAGAAAAGACTTGGAAGTGTGGGGAAAACTGAAATTGTCATTCTGGGGAAGGATCAATACAATTAAGATGAACGTATTACCAAGAATGCAGTTCCTATTCCAGACTATTCCCATAATCAAGGGGAGCCAAATCTTTAAAGAATGGCAAAGAGTGCTTTCAAGATATATCTGGCAGGGCAAAAAACCCAGAATTCAATATAAATTGTTAACAGATATAAAGGAAAGGGGAGGTTTTGCCCTGCCAGATCTCAAATTATATTATGAGGCATCAGGTCTTTGCTGGCTAAAGGAGTGGGTAAAATTGGTGAATAAAGAACTACTTGACTTAGAGGGCTTTGACAATAGGTATGGCTGGCACGCCTACCTATGGTACGAAAAAAGGAAAGTACATAAGGGATTCGAAAATCACATCTTCCGGGGTCCATTGATTGAAATATGGGAAAGGTATAAAAACATACTAGAATTTAAAGTACCACACTGGTTATCACCTCTCGAAGCGATGAGTGTGAAGAAAATTAATATGAGGAGTAACTGGGCAACCTACAGTCAATTACTAATCAAAGAGGAGGGAAAATGGAAATTAAAACCATATGAGCAGATCAAAGAGTATGTATACGATTGGCTACATTATCGTCAAGTAAATGAAACGTTTAGAAAGGACAGCAAAGAAAGAGGGTATGTGGATAAAGATTCAAAATTTCAGAGTGAGATTATAAATAATGATAAGAAATTAATATCTAAAATGTATAGGTTGTTGCTTGATTGGAACTTAGGGGACGAAGAAATTAAATCAGTAATGATCCACTGGGCTAGGGATGTGGGACATAGTATACAATTTGAGGACTGGGAGAAATTATGGAAAGAGGGTTTGAACTTCACAGCATGTATAACGATAAAGGAAAACGTCATGAAGATGTTTTATAGGTGGTATATAACACCTATGAAATTATCAAAAATGTACAAGGTATCCAACAAATGCTGGAAATGTAACGATAAAGAGGGCTCCTTTTACCACATGTGGTGGGAGTGTAGAAAAGTAAAACAATTTTGGGAAAATATATATATCGAACTAAAGAAGATCTTAAAATATACCTTTAAAAAGAAACCAGAAATCTTCCTACTAGGGATACTAGGGAATGAGATAAAAAAGAAAGATTGTAAATTTGTATACTATGCAGTAACAGCTGCAAGGGTAATACTAGCCCAAAAGTGGAAACAGCAGGAAATGCCAATGATAGATGAGTGGAGATCAAAGCTACTAGACTACACGGAATCAGACAGAATGACAGGAAAGATTAGATATGAAAGAGACCAAAAGTTCATCAAGGAATGGGGAAATTATGCTAATTATCTGGAAAATGTAAGCGAGGGACGTACAACGCTAAGGGGATTTAGAGAAGCACTGTGAAAGACCGAGAGGTATTGTATAAAGGGAATAGAGGAGAAAAAGGGGTATAATGACAATACAATACAAGCTAGAAAATGTGTTACTTTAATTATCGCCACGAATGATTTGCGGGCAAGCTGAAGGAAGTCTCGAAATTGATAACAATGTAAAATCTCTGATGCAAAATTTACAGTTTGTGTATTCCTCTTTTTTCTTTTTTTTCTTTTTGTTTCTGTTGTATGCTTTTTGTTTGTTTGTTTGTTTGTTTGTTTACTTGTTTCCTTTTTGAAAATCAATAAAATAATAACTTGGGGAAAAAAATAATTTATTGGCTCTTGTCCAGTCCTTCACTGCATTCAGGCATTGGTCCAGAGCTTGCACAGCCAGTCCTGATTAAGATGTTATGGAGAAACAGAGCTGTGTGTCATCAGAGTACTGATGACACTGTGCTCCAAAACTCTGAATGACTGCTCCTGACTCAATTATTTAGATGCTAAATAGCACTGGGGACAAAATAGTGCCCTGCAGAACCCCATAGCACAATGACAGCCACCAAGGAGCATTCTGCCAGTGCTCTTTGGACTCAGCAGCACAGGCAGGAATTGAAGTAATACAGTGATTCTGATAGCAATCCTGAACAACTGGTCCAGGATACAATGGTCAATGGTATCAAACACCACTTAAAGATTGAGTAACACAGGGTTGCTTTTCATAAAGGAAATCTATCAGGGAGATCAAGGCTGGTTCAGTCCCAAAACGTGCACTAAACCCAGATAATTAGTACTGCCCAAGAACATTTGCAGTTGCTCTGCCGCAACCACTGCCTTTCACCCAAAAGCAAATATATTATAAGCAAGAGGTGGAGACGAGCAGGATGAACGCGATGGCAAAAGGTTGGAAGGCTGAAGAAAAGAAAAGGGGGAAATGCCAGGGAGAGGTGTGTGGGAAGTTGACAGCCTACAAACATCTCAAAGGATTTCAGAACTGTTGTCTGGATTAGGTAATGGGCTGGATAAGGGCCAAGAAACTGATGCTGAATCCTGACAAGATTAAGGTGCTGTGGGTAGGTGGTTCTCAGGTCTGGGAGCTTGCTGTTTTTCCTGTTCTGAATGTTTTGGCACTCCCTCTGAAAGAGCAGGTGCACAGTCTGGGAATACTCCTTGATCCAGCTCTGTTAATGAAACCTCAAGTGGTTCTAAGTCCCTTTTACCAGCTTAGGTTAATTTGCCCAGTTGTAGCCATTCAACTGTAGGTTAGGGATAGCCTAGCTATGGTGAGTCCTCCAGCCCTGTTAGTCTTCCATTTGTACTGCTGTGGTAAATTATATGTGGGGCTGCCCTTGAAGATGACTTAGAAACTTCAGAATTCTTGAAGCTGAATTCTGCCTGGTGTGGATAGCAGGATGCATATTACTAGATCAATTCATAAAGAATTACATTGTACGCTTATTCAGTTTCAGGCACAATTCAAGGTACTGGTTCTTAACTTTTAAGTTCTAAATAGCTTTGAATCTACTTTACGAAAGAAGAATGAGTTAGTTGTATGCCTGCTGTCACTAAACCTTTCCCACCCCCAATATGGCGAAGATAATAATAGTAACTCATATTGCAGGGATGTTCTAACAATAACTATCAGAATTCATGTGACACTCTTTGAGCATTTGGGGGTAAGTATTATATAAATATTATTCCGCCAACTTTCAGCCAACCAGTGCATATCTTCAACCAGTGCATACAAAATTTGTCTTGTGATACATCACATTTCCCTTCAAGAGCTTATGGAGATAGGGATAATATGGTGTGGCAAAAACTGAACTTTGCATGTGGCGCTAAGCCCAGTGTCTTACTGGTTACCCACCTTGCAATCAGCAGTAAAGTACACAGGCCTTAGTGTTGGAGAAAGGCACTCTGAACATTCTTAGAAGCAGGTCCTTGAAACCTGGTGTGGAAGAAAGGTCCCAGTTTGCATATATCTTTTCACCCATCACTTTTTACTTCAGAGAGGTAGTTGTCTTAAGACTACAAAATCGTCAAAGACTCTTGTTGCAACTAAATTTTACAGGATCTGCTTCCTGTGTTCATTGGGACTTGGTAAGCACATTCTCTAGTAAGTGCATTCATTCAATATAATTTAGGCCACTTTTTGGAGCATAGTGAGCATCTGAACAGGAAGAAGCCATGCAGTACCTAGACCAGTGCTTGGAGACAGTGATGAGATGGATGAGGAAAAACAAGCTGAACTTGAATCCTGGCAAGACAGAGACACTGTGGGTGAGTGGTTCCCATGTCTGAGAAATTGGTCAATTGCCTTTTCTGGATAGGGTTGCACTTCCCTTGAAGGAGCAGGTTGACAGTCTGGGGGTTTGCCTGGATCGAGTTTTGTCACTGGAGACCAAGGCAGCCTCAGAGGCTAGAAGCACCTTGGACTGGGAAAGCTTGGCCACAGTAGTTCATGCATTGCTTACATCCAAGATTGGATTACAACAATGTGCTCCATATGGGGCTTCCTTTGCACTTGATCCAGAAGGCTGTGGCACAACTGCTGGCAGGGGTGAGACCTTGTCAGCATATAATGCCTGTGCTCAGAGACCTATACTGGTTGTTGACTTGCTACTGGGCCAAGTTCAAGTATGTAAAACCTTTAACAACTTGGGAGCAGCTTAAGTGTGAGATTGCCTTACGCCATATACCTGACTTGCTTTGATCTGTGGAACTGGCACTGCTACAGGTGCCACATAATACCCATTCTGCACTTGTAAGAAATCCACCTTACGTGTGGCAGCACTTATTGACGTCAGACAGGTGCCTTCACTGTACTCTTTTTGAAGCCTGCGTTTTTTTAAAAAAACAACAACACAAAACCCAACATTCTTGTTTAGGCAAGCCTGCCCAAATATGTAGCACGTTGGTGTGTTTTAACTTGGTTGGTCCTTAGCTTATAGCTATTTTTTAATCACTCTTTTATTATGTCGCAGCTGTTTTATTGATGTTATTGTTTTATTCTTTTTGTAAACCGCTTTGAGGTTTCTTCTTCTTAGTCAAGAGGTATGCAAATTCCACGAAATAACTAAATGGAACATTGAAGGGGGGGTGGAAGCAAACGTTTGGAGCTGCAGCCCTAACCAGTTTACTATGCGGCAGCAGCCTTTCAGGGTGGTTCAGTTGCAACAGCAGCACGACTGTCTCAATAGCATCTGGATTTTTTTATTTTTATTTTTTAAAAAGGAAATTGGTTCTTCCACTACTTTTCTGTCGCCCCCCCCCCGCTACCCCTTTCACCCAACCCAAAACTCATCTCGAGTATAAAATAGCCTTTATTATTTAAAACAGCCAAATCTCTCTCCCTCCTCTGATCCGAGCAGCGTTGCACATTTCGGTGGTGGTGCGGTGGGGGGGGGGGGGAAGAGAGAGGAAGACGAGATGGGTGGCGGTGGAAAAGCGGCGGGTGCCGACGTCATCGCCACCGACGTCACCTTTCCCCGAGCCCACGCAATCGCTGACGCCACACCTCCCCCTCCCTCCCCAACTCTACCTTCTCACCCCCTCCCACCACCCTACGCGTGATGCTCGCAACTCCCCCCTCCCGCAGGGGGAATTCTCCTCTACCCGGGCCTGACATCACTCCTCCCTCACCCAACAGCCCACCAAAGCAGAGACGCCGGTTTAGCGACGGCCTTCTCCTCCCGCCATGTTAGGAGGAGGAGGAGGAGGAGGAGGGGAGGTCGGCGTAACACGGAGCCGCCCCCGCCTGCCCGGGTAGCAGCAGCAGCAGCTCCTCCTCCTCGACGGGCCACTGCATGGAAAGGCTGGGAGCGATGAGCGAAACCGCAGCAGCCTTGGAGGCTTCGGCTGACTAGGGGAAAGGCGAGCGAGCGAGGGAGGGCGAAGCTCCCTCCTTTCTCCCTCCCCCTCCTCCTCCTCCTTCCCGTCCCCTCAGCACGAGGGGAGGGGAAGAGCATGAACGGCTGCCCCGTCCCTGCCCGCCGCGGCGCCGCTTGGGCGAGAACGAGGAGGAGAGGCGGAGGAGGCGGAGGAGGAGGAGCGCGGCGGCCGCCACCAGGACGACGACGACGACAGCCGCCGCCGCCGCCGCCGCCACACAGTCATGGTGCCCTTCGCGCCGCCGGAGGGCGCGGAGGAGCCTCAGCCTGAGCCCGAAGCGGAGCCCTCCTCCTGCCCTCCTCCGCCCCCGCCTCCTACCGCCGCCGCCGCCGGCCTCATGGAGATCTCCGGCGGAGGAGGAGGAGGCGGCGGCAGCAGCAGCAGCCCAGGCGGAGAGGTGAGGGAGTCCCGGGCTGGGTTTTCTGAGGGAACTTGAGGTAAAAGGTTCTGAGGGGGTATCGGGCGGGCGGCAGGCAGAGGCAGCGCTGGCTTAAGAGGAGGGGGCGTGCGTGGCGCTGCCGGTGGTGGGCAGTGAGGGAGGCGGAGGGGAAAGTACCGGCTTGCTGCTGTTCTCCCATCCCTCGGTGCTTCGTCTCCTCCTCTCCCCGCAGGGATGCGGGATGCGGGAACCGGTTCCGGAGGGGTCTGAGGGAGAAGGGGCCGGCGGGGGAGGGGTGGCGGCCGGGGTCGTGAGAGGAGTTTCGTGACACCAAATCGACACCCCCACCCCGTTTTCATGCGTTCCCTACGGTATCTTTCATGCCACCCCCCCTATCTTCCTTGACTCCACCTGGTCCTTCAACTTGCCTTTTGCTTGCTTACCTGCCGCCCCCTTATTTATTTTCAATACCTTCGTTATTCTGACCTGTCCCTCTCCATCATGCCTTCCTGTCAATCCTCTATAGATTCCTCCATCCATCAACAGCTGAACTTGCGCTGTCATTCTCTTATCTCTTCTTTGCGCGCATCCTCCGCTCGCCCGTTTTCCTGCCGTCTTGGCTGGCACCTTCTCTTTCCCTTTCACTAACTCCGGCCTTGCTAATTGCCCTTGCCCCCCTGAGAGGACTGAGAACCTCGACTTATTTAAAAGTCGATTTAGCAGCCCCATCAGAGAACGGGAATTTTAGAGCTAACTCACTTTATGCAGTGGAATGCAAGGGAATCCTGAAACGGAAAGCTGTTCCCCTTTGTTTCTCTTTTCGATCTTCTCTAGCTCCGAATTCCAGGTCTCTGTTCTTTTACTGCACAGGATCCAGTGACACCCAAAAGTCTCTGAAAACTGTCCCCCCCTTTCTACAACCACTTGGTTTTTAAAAAAGTATTGCCTTATCATTTTCTTCTTGTCCATCTACCTATTGCTGCCTCAGGTTTCACTTTTTTTTCACTGAAGTACTTTTACCAGATAGATTCCTCTCCAAGGCATATCCTGTCCACATCTGTTTGTCTTTCATCCTTACCTTGACAAATTAACCTCTGCGTCCTAAAGATGCTCGGTTCTAAACAGTTGCCAGATGCCTCCACTCTACACTTCTATATCCATCTCCATCTATTTTTATTAACAACCACTTCCTACTTTGTTCACCCTAGTTCTCCTGGTAGTTAATCCCAGACATCAAGGTCTGATGCATCCTTCCTCTACCCTGCTAGCTGTCTCCCTTCACAACAAGGCACTGACTCTTGAGTTCGTTCTTACTTAACTAATACTTTACTCTCACAAAAATTACCTCTTTTACTTCAGCATTAAAACATATTTGGCACCATGGTGCAGTAGTGAGTTACTCCTCTTTGCTTCAGTGTTTGTTGACTTAAGAAGATGAACTATTTTGAATTTGTTGCTGAAATATCTTGCTATGGTTTGCATCTAATATCCTAATTCTGAAAGGCTCCAAATTGTCCTTTCCATTCCACAAATTTTGTTTGAACTTCTCAAAAGAGCCTGCTGCTCTTTGCCCTTGAGGTGTCTCCTCTAAGTAGCCCTAATGACCTATAGATTCCTGCCATATTTCCTGTATCAGTCCTACCGGAGTGATGCTAACATTCCATTTTAAAAACAAGAGGTGTGGTGACATCTGTCAACTACATAAATTGGGAACAGACATAAGGAATGTTCTGCAAAACTTAGCAATAAAAATAAGGAATTACTAATGACCCTTTCTGGATGTATCTGCTTTGGAAGATGTCATGCTGTTTTTGGCTTAGCTGATTTTGCTTTACTACTTTCAAGCACCTCAAATACAATTCACTATATTTATTACTGTGTTAATAGAGCTCTGGGGGTCCCAGATGGCCTCGCAATGAGGCAGTGCATTAGACTTAGACCTGCATAGCTTCAGCAAGCGTTCTGCATCATGTGTTCTTAAACATAGTCTTGACCCCCCACCCCAAGCTTCACTCAAAACAAGCCCCCACTCCTTAAACATCTCTTTAAGACTGGTTCAGCTTAAAAGTCATTCAGTTGTCCCATCTTTCAGCTTCTTCTTTATCCTTATAAACCACCTACACTTTGAGCCTTATTTGTCCTTAGAGGATCTAAGAACCTATGTAGTAACTGTTTCTAAGCCAAGGAGAAGCTGGTAAACCTTTTATTCTCTCAAGGGCTCATTTATTATGGAAAACAGCTTGTACAGTGGTACCTCGGGTTACAGACGCTTCAGGTTACAGAAGCTTCAGGTTACAGAGTCCGCTAACCCAGAAATAGTACCTCGGGTTAAGAACTTTGCTTCAGGATGAGAACAGAAATTGTGGTGCGGTGGCAGCGGGAGGCCCACTTAGTTAAAGTGCTTCAGGTTTCAAGAACAATTTCAGGTTAAGAACGGACCTCCAGAATGAATTAAGTTCTTAACCCGTGGTACCACTGTACAAGGTTAGAGTCTTCAAAGTATTGTTCAGATGAATAAAATGTTCTCTGTAAAGTGGTATGCCCAACTTCTATATCATATACTACCATTGCCAGGATGTTATCAAATACTGTTTGATGTCAGGATCTTTTACATTCTACCAGTTGTAACAGCTTTTGTCAGAATGGCTTTTGTTTGGCTTTCAGTGGCTTAATTTTAGCAGTCTGACTGACTTTTCCCTTTGTCCCAGGCACCATCAGAAGTGTCATTAAACAAACATTCTAGATGCATTAAAATTGATAGTTTCAACAATGTCGGAACACTTTTTTGAAAAAAAGATACTCAGCAGTTTCATGGTAAAAAAATAAGCAGCAGCTTTTGGAATCTCCTTAGTCCTAATGTAGCTATTGCTGGAAATTGAGTGCATAGTGTGAGTTAAAAAAAAATTCACATTGTGCAAGTAATAATATTCTAGTACAGAATACCATTGAATATAGAAACTTTGTGCTAGACCCCATGTTCCTGAGATTGGCAGAAGAGAGTTGAATATATGTGTTTGTAGGGAGGGTTATTGTTTTGTTTTTGTTTTAACTATTTATTTTGTTCTTTTATCCTGTATTTTTATCTTGTGAACAGCCCTGAGATTGGATGCAGAGCAGTATATAAATTTAATAAATAAAAAAAATAGGCCTTAAATGCAAATTTATATGCTATGTTAATGAACATTCTTATCTAAATACTGTTTCAAAAACTGGTCAGACTAGTCTCTGGTTGTTCTTCAAGTGTTTTTATTGGTCCACTTCTATTAGAAGAACTCTTTCATTGCTCAAGATGATATTTTTTTTATGTTGTAAATGTATGAGACTATAAATTGAAAGTTTATTACTCTGTGAGGTAGGAAGTTTTAAATAACACCAGATTCTATACATGGAAGTAAGTCATACAGATTATGGGGCTGAACTCTAAAGTAAGTGTGCATAGGATTGAAATCAGTGGGATTTAAGCAGCATGACTGTGCAGGATTGTATCCTTAGTGTTTTATACCTTTGCTGTTTATGTGTCCATAGTGCTGTTCCTGAGCACTGTAATTGCTGTGCAATTCTCTATTATAGCAGTATACACTTTGAAATATTTCTGTGATTGAATCCTTAATCATGGTCTGTAAAAAAAGGTAAAGATCAAGGATCCCAGGATGGTCAAGTCCAGCCAAACGCAACTATGGGGTTGTGGGCGCTCTTCTCACTTTTTAGGCCGAGGGAGCCAGCATTTGTCCACAGACAGCTTTCCGAGTCATGTGGCCAGCATAACTAAACTGCTTCTCGCACAACAGTACACCATGACGAGTGCCAGTGCATGCGGAAACACCGTATACCTTCCCGCCTCAATGATACCTATTTATCTGCTTGCACTGGTGTGCTTTCGAACTGCTAGGTTAGCAGAAGCTGGGACAAAGCAACAGTTTGCATCCCCGCTCCTCCACATGCAGCTGCTGGGTGACATTGGGCTAGTTGCACTTCTCTGAAGTCTCTCAGCCTCGCTCACCTCGCAGAGTGTTTGTTGTGGGGGTGGAAGGGAAAGGAGATTGTTAGCCGCTTTGAGACTCCTTAAGGTAGTGATGAAGTGGGATATCAAATCCAAACTCCTCTTCTTCTAAAGTAACTCATTAAGTTACTTATTTGAACAAAAAACTAATATGCATGTCACACCTCCGGTAGTCATTACTGTCTTCTAACACTGCAATCCTACGCATATGTGGAAGTAAACTCCACTGAACTTTGTCAGGTGTAGGGCCAAATTACACATTACACTAATGTGCAAAGGATCCAGTTCAACATCACTGTTGGACAATTAATGGAGCTTTACAAGTAGTTGCACATTTGGTATGTGGGTGCTGTTACAGGAACTGCTCCTCCTGTAATATTCTGGAGGTGTATGTGTGTGTGTGTGTGGGGGGGGTTAGACAGGATTATGCATTTAAAATGTAAAATTGATGTGTGTGCATGAGAGAGAGGGAGCGCTTTTTGGTTTAGTTTGGTTTAGTAGATTATTAAGGCAAGACTTAAAATTTTGGTTTCTTTTATTTTATACTTTCTAAAAATTAGAATTGTACGTGGGAAATGCATTCTTCACTCTTTGAAGTTTATGAGGAAGTCAAATGCCAGATTAACATTGTAGCCTGAAATGAAATTATTCAGCCATAACAAAAAGGATGTTTACTTAGGACAATGCTGTTGGATTTGGAGACAGCAAATATTGTCATGAATATGAATTGAACCTTGCATTTTCTGTTGCTTTGCCAGCTCAATGCCTCTTTTGTGTGTGTTCTTATTGTTGAATTGGTGAGAAAGAAGAGTGCATCTTTGGATTATCAACTTTGTCCCTATATTCATTATGTGATAGAAATAAATTCTTCTAGTAGCCTTTTTACAATGGTCTTTGCTTAGATTAATTTTATGAAAGTGTTCTCATTTATCTTGGTTCACAGTTCACCAAAACAGAACACAGTTATGGTGAACATCCCTGGCAAAGTTGTACTTTCCAAAGAGTACTCTGTGTGCGC